GAAGGTATAGCTAATAAGCCGATGTGTCTCTCATTTCTTATAGGTCACCCGTTGAGTATCTCTGCCTCCTAACAGTCTTGGCCTTGACAGCCATGACCGACTCAAAGCTGACGGACTACACGCACGCGGACTACATTCCCATAATTGACGGACGGACCGTAATATGGAAAGAAACCTTCTACGTACAACACTCCACGAACTTGACAGAGTATGACCGATACATTCAGGAAACAATAGACTTGACTGACGTGTTCCCTCAGACACATATGAGGAAAATATTAGAAACAGACACGAAACACCTACTGACGTTGACTGCGGCTTTGGGAGTTCATCACAGTCATGCGAGGAGTTTGAATATCTTGGGGTCTGCACTGAAGGTAATCGCAGGAACCCCGGACTTTGATGACTTACAACAAACGAGACAGGTCGAGTATGATTTAATAAACGCAAACAACAGACAGATAACCATAAACTCAAGGACTCAAACACAGATAAATGCCCTCACCGAAACGGTTAATCAATTATTGAAAGTAAATAAGCAGGAAGAAATTGACACTTCCCATCTATATGAAACCCTCCTAACTAGAAACAGGATATTGACGCTCGAATTGCAGAACCTAATGATCGCCACTACTCTGGCTAAAATAAATGTAGTAAATCCAGCTATTATCGATAGTAATGACTTAGAGGCGATTCTGAAGAAAGGTTCCACAGATATCAGTGTAACCCAACTTTTGGGCGCTGCAAATGTAAGGGCACTAGCTAATAAGGAATTGATCATCTTTGTAATTGAAATGCCTAGACCTAAGCTCATTTGTAAGAAAATAACCATCTTCCCAGTCGCACACAAAGGGGTAACGATCCGGTTGCCCGAGGACACCATAGCAGAATGCGGCAGCAAGGTCATCGCTGTCTCATCATGCATAGGGCCCCCATCATTGGCCTTCTGTAAGGAGGCACCGGCGAACAGCCGCGCTCAAGAACTGCATTTTGGCGCCGTGGCCCACTGCGGCACCCAGCCAAACAACCTACCCCCGATCTTGGAGATAGATGAGGGTATTGTGGTAATCAACGATGCCACCGCCATTGTGACCACCGACGACGGCCCCGAGCGAACTGTTACGGGAACATACCTGGTAACCTTTGACCAGGTCGCGCACGTCAACGGGACAAAATACACCAACTTCAGCAATGCGCCAAAGAGAGTCCCGGGCGTAGCTACCTCGGCGAGGATTAATGTCACCCGCCACCAAACACTGTTGAGCCTGCCGTATCTTCACAAGCTGAATGAGGAAAATCTGCAGCACCTGACCGAAGTCCGAACAAACCTTGTGATCAGTTCCGCACTGGCCGCTGGCGTGGGCGTGGCCGTGTGCGCTGCTTTAATTGGCGTTTCCTGGTGGATGCGGCGCAGGCAGCAGAAGGGTAACACCGTCGCGATTGAGCAGATGCTGAAGAGCATGGGCTTGACCGAGGACGGTCAAGTCTTGAAGGAGGGAGTAGTTAGCAAGAGTTAACTGAATTGTCCATTGGTTTGGACGAATTCTGAGTTAACAAGAGTAAACTGGATTGTCCATTGGGTTGGACGAATTCCGCGATATCGCAAGGTAAGCAGTTTCGTCAACCGTGGGATCGCCGTCGTCGCGGTCGCCGGATGCCGGCCGCTACTGGACACCACGCACGAGGCGCAAGGTCAGCACTTTTGCTGGACAGCGACGAGTGCCGTGGCCGGCAACCAAGGGTCCCGTAGCTGGGAAGTTTAGGTTTTTAAGTTAGTTTTAAATAACCAGCAAAGTGGCGATGACATGTAACGTCTCGCCTTGCGAGCATTAATCACTCTTTACATTCTTTTGCTAAATACATTAAATAAATAACACCCGTGTTATATTTAAATATTACTTATATGTTTAGGTGTTCATTCCAACTTTCTTTCCAGTCGTCGGGTCCCATGTGTATCGCTGTTTTGACGGCCAGGCAAGTTCGGGGGAACATGTAGTCAGATATACTGATCATGTCTCGGCCTATTGAACTGTGCCCGAATCCTTGCAGCGACATATTGCCTGATGCGACTAGGCGTTGTGCTGCCTTACCTGCAGTCAGTTGAGCGTAGATGTCCAGGGGGTCAATTCCGAGTATTGTTTCGAGTGCTTTTGTTGGGGTTGACCTCAGCGCCCCAGTGATGCAGAGCAGTGCCTGCCGCTGAGTTCTATCTATTAGCTTGTTGTAGGTTTTCTTTTCTGTAGCCTGCCACCACACTAAGACTCCATATAGCAGAGTCGGTTGCACTACCGAAATGTAGACCCAGTGCATTAGTGCAGGTGATAGGCCCCATGTGCTGCTAAGCATCTTCTTGGATGCATATAGCGCAATGGTGGCCTTCTTCACCCTTTCCAATACATTGGGTCTCCATGTCAGCTTACTGTCCAGTACTATAACGAGGTATTTGACTTGAGTTTTTGGGGTAGGCCTGGTTCTGTCGATTTTCGGGGGGATCCATGCCGGCACCTTGTACCTCTTGGTGAAGGGGATGAGATCCGTCTTGTCCGCATTGATACTGAGTCCTACTTTTCCCGCCTACTCACATATCTCCCTGAGTGTTGATTCCATTATAGAGCTGAGGCTCGATGGGCATACTCCCGTAATAATTATGCTTATGTCGTCCGCATAAGCTGTTATTTTTGGGGCTCCCCTCTCGAATCTCTTTATTAGGTCGTCGACCACCAGATTCCATAGGAGGAGCGACAAGACCCCACCCTGAGGTGTGCCTCTGTGTGCCCCTTTCACCATGGAAGCGGTGCCCCACTCTGAGTACACCCGTCTACAACTTAGAAGGTTCTTTATCCAGAGGTTGATTGCGGAATGTGTGTTGATCGCTTCTAGGCAGTCCATTATCGCGCTCGTATTCACGTTGTTGAATGCTCCGGATATGGCATACTTCTTATTTTGCAGGGCATTTTCGATGGTGGCTACTAGTGAATGCAGTGCCGTCTCTACCGATTTCCCTTTGGTGTAGGCATGCTGGTTGGTTGACATCCGCCCCCCTACATCGTTTCTGATGTGTAGATCCAGCTACTTTTCTAGTGTTTTGAGTAGAAAAGAGGTGAGGCTTATCGGTCTTTAGTCATTGGGGCTCATGTGGCTACACTTTCCTGCCTTTGGAAGGAAGACAATCCTCGAGGTCCTCCATTGAATTGGGATACGCCTGTGCTCAGGCAAGCTTAGTATATTGCAGAGCCATGGGGTGATCACGTCTTTGGTCGCCTGTAGCATGGCTGGAATTATACCGTCTCGTCCAGGTGCTTTTGTACCCGCAAAGGGGTCTATAGCCCAGTGGATTCTCTTAGGCGATATGAGATCTGTTGGAGGGTGCTGTTCCTCAGCTGCTAGGTCCTGATGCTCTGTAGCGTCAGCGACCTCGGTGCATCCTGGGAAGTGAACTTCCATTAGTGCTATTAGGGCTTCTTCACTGCTCTCAGTCCACTGTCCATCATTTCGTTTCAGCTCTCTGTATGGCGGGTTGCTTTGATAGCAACTTCCGGAGTCTGGCCATTTCTGGGACTTTCTCGATGTTGGAGCAGAAGTTCCTCCACGAGTTTCTTTGTGCCTTGCGTATTTCCTTCTTGTACTCCCTGAGTAGGATTTTGTATTCCTCATTGTTTATCTCGTCATTCGCTAGTTTGGCGATTTTGAAGAATTCTTTGAGGTTTTTTCTTTGAAGCGATAAGTCCCGGTTCGTTCTCAAAGGTGGGCATGCTGCGTGGTACGCATCCAGTAGCTTCTTGGAGAGGGTTTCCAGGGACGTTTCTATATCTTCAGGGGATTTCACTGTGCCCGGACGAGTCGCGAGCTTCGAAGTAACTGTCTTTTTAAACTTTTCCCAGTTTTTGTTCCGGGGGTTTCTATAGACAGTTATATTCGGAGAGTGTTTAAATTCGCACTTAAGCTGAATGTACTTGTGGTCTGAGAGGGATGGTCTTTCAAGGACTCTCCAGCCAGATACCAAAGTACTGTTCCCCGTTAAGAGTGTTAGATCTAGTACGTTAGACGAGGTGGGGCCTAGGAAGGTGTGCTCCTCCCCCACGTTTTCTACATCTAGATTAGTGGATAGTATAAAGTCTAAAAGTGACTCACCTCTTTCGTTGATATCGGGGCATCCCCACACGCTATGGTGGGCATTGGCGTCCGTACCAACTATGAATTGCTGGTCTTTCGGACTGGCTTCCGCCACCAGACTCCTTAGCTCCTCCGGTGGAGCTGGCCTGTCGGGTGCCATGTAGCAGGATGCTATCATAAGGCGCTTGTCCTCGCTTTCAAGCATCACCGCAGCCAGGTCATCAGCGCTGTAATGATACATAAGATAAGTATGGATGCCCTTTCGTACGAGTACGGCGGTTCTGGTCCTGTTTACCGATGGTGGGTGGAAAAGATTGTAATTAGAGGACTTTAGTCCGGCCACAGCATTGCCGGAGGCAAGCCATGGCTCCTAGACCAAAGCTATGTCGACGGGCCCTTGCTCCAAGGCAATGAGAGGCTCCGCCGACGCGAACTTGCTTTTATGCAAGTTGAGCTGCAGCACTCTCAATGTCATGGGAGGCTGGCTCAACTGCACTCGACGGGTTGACTATTATAGTCAGGTCACCGTCCTCGTCCTCTGCGGCATCAGAGTCGTCCAGCGCAAGATCCTGGGCGGCCTCCACGATGGACGCTTTGGCGCTTTTTGAGACGTAGGTAGTGCCTACGCCCTATGCCATCTTCCGGAATCTCGGGTAGAGGATTTCTTCTGCCTCCTTGTTGATCTGGAGGATCACGTGCTGGCCCCCCTTATTGGGTAATGGGATACCAGCATGCAAGATTCTCCAGTCAGCCGTTGGCACATCTCTGTTCTGCCTCTGGAGGAGTTTCAGTGCTCAGTCCCCCTTGACTGCAATGGGGAAGAGCACCTTCGCCTTTGGGATGGACGGGATCATCTCCCTGTCCACTACCTCCAGCTTGGCCCCCTCCTACAGAGCTTCCAATTTGGGCACCACTCGCACCAGCCACTTCCTCGTCGGGTCATCGTTGCACTTGAGGATCTTCACCCCGTTCAGCCATCCCGCACCGTCGAAGGTGGGCATGGGAGCGTCCGGCGCGTCCTCCATTCGCGCGAAAAGGGATTCCACCAGCTGGGCGTGGACCTGTTTCCACTGCGCCGCCGTCATCTTCCCATTTCCCTCGCTGCGGTCGATCAGGGCCACGATGAGGTGTCTCTTGGACACGTCACTCAACTTGGCCTTCTGCTTGAACTTCTTCGTCGTAGGTTGAGGGATAACAACCTTGGGCCCGCGTTGCCGCTTGCCCGCCGGAGTGTCTTTGGCACTCTCGATCGAGCGTTGCCTTTTGGTGGCCATCATCTCCTCAACCTTATTCGCGAATTCACCCTTCGTCGCCTTCATCTGAGACAGCTGCGCGTAGTGAAGACGCCCCTCTTCTGCCTTTTGCTCAGCCCAGCCTAGTTTGGAATTCTCCTCTTGGGAGATGTCCTCTTTGCCTTGTAGCCGGCTTCGGATTTTGAGGGCCGCCTTGTATTGGGCCTAAGCCATCATCCCCTCCCTAGAACGCTTCGGCCCTTCCCTACGCAGGGAGCTGGTACCTGGTTCAAGCGAGCGGAGAAGGCTCTCGTCTTCCGTTCTGCTTACACTGAGCACGCTCTCCAGGTCCGAGTCTGTTTCGACCACGGCACCCGTGCGGTTCCGGTTGCAGAGAGGCGTTTTGGTGGCAGTAGCTTTGAAACTAATATGACATGTTCCCGCCATATTAGAGTTGTGAGCGCTGGCGACACGCAGAGAGGATTGCTCCTCCCCGTGCCCGCCGGTGGTAGCAGTCACGCTTTCCACCGACGTTTGGACTGACATCCCAGTCCCTGTTCGATCCTTATTCCGCTCCATAATTTATTGGGGGGACCACCCCCTAGCGTTTTATGCCTGACCGCCAGGCACCTCCAGCCATGGCCATGGTTCAGTTCCCCCAATTTTATATCGGGAAGACCTGGACCTGGCCTTAGCTAGACACTGCATTACTTCGGACAGAGCAAGCGGCAATGCATTACCCGATCCGGGATAATGCAGTGCCCATTGCCCGGCCGGCACCCTCTGGGAGGGAGATACTTAACTATGAGAAAAAAAGCTACCTCTGAAAAAGGAATAAACAAAATACAATTCATAAAAATTTAGCCAACAAAAAAAACTATCACTTAGAAATATCTCTGATATGGTAAAGATACAAAATTTCATTAAATACTGGGTATCTATACTATAAATTTGTAGAAAAAAATCTGTGTGTAAGCGGCTATCTCCGCAACGCGTGCACCAAATTGCATGCGGTTTTTTTTTAATGATAGCCAGAGAATGTGACCTGGTTTGCACAACTTTTCCTGGTTCCTGGTTCCAACCTGGTTTGTACTTTTCTATAAATAGGTTCCTCAAGAATTAAAAATGAATCGAAAAAAAAATCTCAAATTTTGTCAAAAAATGTGTGTTTGAACGCCTACTTCATTTCATTTTGTGTCATTCTGTAGAAAAAACTTGGTCTAAAAATGTGTGTTTTACCGCCTATTTCATTTCATTTTGTGTCATTCTGTAGAACAGAACATTTGATGATAGATTTTGTTTTTTAAACCTATTTGTGTGAAAATTTGTTTTCTGAAAAATTTCAATTTGTGTAAGTATATTTCTTGCTTTTGAAAATGTGTGCGTTTTAAACCAACCTGTGTGGTTTTTAAAGTTAAATGTCGAGACGATTAAATTTGGGTCGGCGAACGCGAAATTCGTTTCAAGTTGTGGCTTCAAGGAGCCGTGAAAGTAGCCAAGACATTACACATCGCAATGAAAATAATCGTCTACGCACAGCAAGGTGCCGTTCAAATCAACGGAACAATGATGCAACAACAACTGCAAATGAACGTCGTGATTGTCACCTGAGTCTAATCATTTTTTGAACAATATACGAAAGTATTGTAACGAACCATGGTTCTAGCCATGTTTCGTCACAAACGGCGAAGAGTCAGCGCATCCACGCTGGCCGGAGACAATAATCAAACTGATATCCACGGAGCTAACGAACCATTTCTCTAGCCACGGTTCTCCACAAATAGCGGTGTGTCGGCACCTCCGGGAAATAAAATAGTCTTAAGCAACGTACACAATTAATTAAGAGCTCTCGATCAACAACTCTACACATTCTTGTCCAAACAACAATTTAAAACACCCCACCTCTTGGGACATTTCGCAATCGACGGCCTACATAAGAAATATCTTTTGCGTTATTTCACAATAAGTCAAGCCAGCATAAAATTATCGACCTACCGGCCCAAATTCAGCTATCACCTTCCGCGATGCCGAGTTAGCAAAATCAAACCTTCCGGGATGCAGCCTCAGCAAAACCACCCTGACCCACTTAAAATTGTCAACGAAGCACCAATCTTGTTACCACACCCCACAATTATTGTTATCCAATAACCCTAAGTCAGCAAGAATTAATTATTTCCGGGTCTCAGGTGCGATCGCCAGCTGCATAAAAGAGCCAAGATCGGCCGAAAGAGCAGGCAGTCCATCAGCCCGAACACAAGACACTGCACTAGGCTAGGAACACGAGACTCTGACTAAGCAATCCACCAGCGCACCATACAACTACAAGCCAGAGTAACAACGTTAGATAACTAAGTGAATGAAAATATACTGAATAAACCAAGAACAACCCAAACCCCAAACTCTCGCGTCATCATCGAGCTGGCTCTTTGTTACCTTTCGACAGCGCAGACCACCAATTTTTGCAATTATATTTTATCGGGAACGCGAAAGACGAAGCTGATCGTCGGTGTGCCATTATTACCAACACGCGGAGACAAATTATTTTCGATTTGCAAAATATGTTCCATGAGCACAACGAATTGGTTCAGGTTCTCAAAACATCGCTTGATCGAATGCCATCTGACGATCATAAAATTGTTATTCGAGCTGATAAAACACCGGTTGGCGAACATGCAAGGCGTTTCAATGCTCAAACAGTTGACGAAGTGGCAATAGTCATAGTTGGTGAGCAATTTAATAATCGTGATATTGTGCTTCATCGTAGAAATGAACAACTTGAACGTGTATCCGAGACTCATCGCTGTTATGATGCAATACAATATCCCATATTTTTTTGGAGCGGACAAGATGGCTATAATTTGAACATTAAAATGATAAATCCGGTAAACGGTCGAGAAGGAACAAATAAAGTTAGTGCTATGAATTATTACGCATACAGGCTGCAGTTACGGCAAAATCAAGACAACCACATATTGAGGTGTAGAGCACTTTTCCACCAGTTGTTGACATGTATGCAAAAATTGAATCGGAACGGTTAAATTTTCTTCGATTCAACCAAGCCAAATTACGTTCCGAAGGGTATGTTCATTTGCGTGATGCCATTAACAACGATGGTAATGCACAAAACGTTGGAACTATGATAATATTACCGTCAAACACGGTGCATTTGGGTCTGTTCAATGTTGGATGTATTCAATTCAATGGCAGAAACGAGGTTTGCCTCATGCGCATATTTTAATTTGACTGATTGAAAAAATAAGGCCGAATAAAATTGACGATGTGATATAAGCAGAAATTCCAGATCCGACAGTGGATCCTGAATTGTTTGAAGTGGTCACCAAAAATGTGATTCACGGTCTATGTGGTGCGTTGAATTTGACTTCACCCTGTACGGTTGAAGGGAAATGCTCCAAACGTTTTCCAAAAAATTTGGTCTCCGATACAGTGACGGGCAACGATGGATATCCCGAATATCGGCGTCGATCAACTGAAGATAATGGCCATTCGGTAACTTTGAGAGTTAAAAATCAAGATTGGGAGATTGATAACACTAGTCAACACGATTTTTCCTCAAGGAACAAAACGAACTTTTTCTTAAAGATTTGGGGCTTAGAAATGGTTTGATGATATTTTTTTTTTTTTCTATGGCAGAACTTTTTTTTATAGAATTTTTGAAAACTGGTATTTTTTTTTTAAGCTTTTTTCAGAGGTAGCGCTTGTTTTTTTCACATAACTCTAGTATCTTACGTCTGGTTGTAAAGAACTTTGCTATTTTGAAAAGATAATTAAAACAGCTAGAAGTTGATGCCAAACACTTTGTGATTTCAGCTTACCGTCTGGGAAATATAAAGCATTGAAATGCAAAAATGATGATTTTTGTGGGGTATTTTTTACGAAATGTTGACTTTAAAAACTCAGGAAAAGTCGAAAAAAAATTATATCTTGTGTCCTCTATTTTTTTGTGTATAGGTGCGTTAATTTGGCGTCGTTTAAGGTATCGCTCATTAAAATCTATGGAGAGACTTTGGAGCTAAAATTCGTTAACCAAACCTAAAATATGGAAAAAATGAACAAAAAATACCTTTTTGAAGGCGGCGGGCCCAACTGCCAATTGGGAACAAAGCAAACGAACAAGGGTTGTACATTTGGTACCTGATCGCGCTCCTTTGTTTTTTTCGACTTTTCGACCACGTAAAACACTCAAAAGGGTTCATAAGCACTTATCCGGACAACTAAGGGCCATACTAGCCTGTGCGTGGCCCCATGAGGGCCGTCCAGGTTAACCTAACCTAATGAGCTTGTGATTTCAAAAATGAATGGCACATAGCACATAAATACAAATACAAACTTGATTTTCGTTGTCGTCTGGACGTTGCTATGCAATGACTGCACCATCAAGTGGCCCATGCGACACCAAGCGGAAGCCTGTTAAGCGCGGAACCCAGGCAGAAACGCAGCCCTCCTCCCGCCCAACCGAGCGAGGGGCGCTGCCGCATGACGCGCGACGCGTGTTACCGAACCGATCGCGACCATGCAGGAAAGATAGGTGTTAGACTAAAATTCGAGGAAAATTAGAGCTAAACACAACTCAAAGAGCTAAACATGCAAAGATAGCTAAGAAATATAACTAATTACGGGAAAGGTATGTTAGTATTAGTGATTTAAGAAGAGGAAGGGAATTAGTAGTTGATATTATGTGGTAAAAGGAGCAAAGTACCCTAAATGGTTCGTGCAAGGAATAATTCGATCTACAAAGCGGAAGGAACAAAGAAATGAAGTTTCTAGTAGATCTAATAGGAATCGTAAAGTTTATGCACCATACACAAGAGCCGTACTCTAAAATCGGACGAACAAGCGAGATGTAGAGAGTCTTCGTTATATAGGGGTCGTCAAATTCCTTTGACCGTCAAATTCCTTAAACCCAAGCGCACCCATGGCCTTATTTACCATGGTAGAAATGTGTTCAGAAAACTTTAACTTTGGGTCTAATTTAACACCAAAATCATCAACCAAGGTAATTCTCTCAAGAGAACCATCGCAGAGGCTATAAGAAGCCAAAAGGGGGCTGGAGCGATGAAATGTCATTACTTTGCATTTCGAGGCATTTAGGTGTAACATATTTGCACAACACCATGACTGAAAGTTATTGAGGTCGGATTGCAAGCGAGAGTGTAATGAAATGTCCTTATACTGGACACAAAGTGTAACATCATCCGCATACATGAGTACTCGAGAGTTTGTTAATACTGAAGGCAGATCATTAATAAAGAGTGTGAATAGTAGGGGGCCTAGATGGCTGCCCTGTGGTATTCCAGAAGTGACCTTAACAGGTTAAGAGAAGGAGTTTTTGAAGAGGACTCTTTGAGACCTAGAACGAAGGTAGCTAGAAATCCATCTCAAAAGATTAGGCGGAAACCCTAAAAGGTCAAGTTTTTGTGCTAAAAGGG